GTAACTACTATGAAGGGATAGAATATGACTCTAAAAATGAAAAATAAAAATGTTTTTTTAAAAAGGGGTTGATAAGATGTTGGTTGAAAAAGAGAAAAAGAAAAATTAAAAAAAAGAAGAGGTAAAAAATAAATTAACTTTGAAAGACTAAAGAATCATGGTAAAAAAGCCATGGATTCTGTGTCCAGTATTCCCCTAGCACTGGAGTTCTGCGGTTCTCATTGATGGGTAAATTTGGTCTTGGCTGGCTGTTCCTGCTGATCTTCTGGGGGAGGGGCCTGTTGCCGTGGTTCCCAAATGTCTTTGCGGAGGTGGAATTGCCCCTCCCTTGCCGGTCCGGGCTAAGTAATCTGCTCCGGTTTGCTCTCGGGAGCTTTTGTTCCCTGCAAGCTTTCTGTACAGCTTTGGAGGATGAGAGTGAAAGTGGCACCTGTCAGTCTCCACCCCGGAGGAGCCGAGAACTCGGGGCCCCACTCCTCGGTGCACCCCCAGAGAAAAGCAGTCAATCACTCCCAACTCCCTGGTCTCCGGCCACACTCCGCGCTCACCCGGCCTGTGACTGAGCATTTCTATCTCTGGCACCCGACCCCGTGTGGAGTCTCCAAACCCAGCAGATCCCTGCGGTGCGCTCCCGCGCCGCTCCTCCTGGGGGAGGAAGGGGAGTCTCCCCAGATCTGCCACTTGTTGGGTCCCTGCTGGAGGAGCAGTGGCCTGACTGTGTTACGTATCACGGTTTATGGCAACCCCGAGCTGAGAGCCCGCGCCCCAGCTCCGTCTCTGCAGCTGGCTTCCCCGCTCCGATACCTGGGAGCTCTGCCACACTCAGGGATCCCTGGTCTTTCTTTGACCCTGAGGGTCCTCACCATACTGTGCTGCGAGGGTTCCACCCCCGGCTTAGCCACTAGATCGACGTTCCTCAGCAGAGCAGATTTCTAAAAGTTCTGATTTTGTGCTCCGCTGCTCTATCACTTGCCAGAAGCAGCCGATGGAGGCCCCCCCTCCCCCGCCATCTATCTTCCCGAATATCGCCTCGGATTCACTTCTCCGCACGTCCTACCATCTGGAAAGTGGTCGCTTTTCTGTTCAAGAGAGTTGTTGCTATTCTTTTCTTCGATCTTCTGTTGAGTTTGTAGGTGTTCAGAGTGGTTTGATTCCCATCCAGCTGAATTCCTGAGACCAGACGAAATCCAGGTCTCCTACTCCTCTGCCATCTCGCTCCACCCCAGGAATACCTTTTTATACAAAAGTGGTGGTGGTGGTTGGGGGATTGGGGAGGTGGATGTGTGGGAGGGCTGTTATAAACAAAAAGCCCATTGGAGTAAACTGGGAGTTGGAAGTATAGTGGCTTTTCATTGGCTAAGTTGTGACAATTTCTCATTGGGTGGGCTTTGCTGTGGAAGAAGAAAACCTTTCTTCCTTCTGCTGGCTTAGTAAAGTAGTATCCATGTGCAGGGCATCACTTCCTTTTGGGTTTGCAATTGAACACAAGTGGTAGACCATGAACGCTCCCCATGCTGGCCTTCTGACTCCATTCTTTTTTTTCTTTTCCTTAAGATTTATTTATCCATTTATTTTAATTTTATTTATTTTTTAAATTTTTATTTTATTTTACTTAAATTCAATTCGTTAACATATAGTGTATTATTAGTTTCAGAGGTAGAGTTCAGTGATTCATCAGTTGTATATAACCTAGTGCTCATTACATCACATGCCCTCCTTAATGCCTTAATTTTATATATAGAGAGAGAGCAGGGAGAGAGAGAGAGAACAGGGAGAGGGGGAGAGGGAGAAGGAGAGAAGCAGACTCCCTGCTGAGCTTGGAGCCCAACTTGGGGCCTGATCCCACCACCCTAGCTAAGATCAAGAGTTGGACGCTCAACTGACTGAGCCACCCAGGCTCTCCTTCTTCTGACACCATTCTTTTTTTTTTTTTTTTTTAAGATTTATTTATTTGACAGAGAGAGCACAAGCAGAGGGGGAGAGAGGGAGAATAGACTCCCCACT